AGAAATTTTTTTGTTTTATTTCACACCTCCATAGGATGCATAATCCTTTAAGTCATACACTACTTGTGTACTTAGAGGCACTACTTGCCAAGGTCTCGATTTGTGGTGAAGACTCGATAATGTAGTCACAAGTTACTTCTAAAATTAAAAGAAGTTGATACTAAAGCAAGCCCAATGGTAAGACTTTCTTATCGAATTTAATTGTATTTGAGTACAAACCAAGCAATACTAACATGGTGGTTGATGCACTTAGTAGAAAGGCTGAGTTATATCACATGACAAAAGGTGGATGGGAGATCATGGCCAAAATTAAGAAAGAAATGGAGCATGATCCCATCGTCAAGAGTTTATTGGCCTTTACAAGGGACGAAAGACTAAAATATTTTAGGAGGAGGATGGCATTCTCTACATGAAAGGGAAGAGAATTTATGTGCTTAAATAGGAAAGCCTCCGATGAGATTTAATAAAAGAATGCCACGAATCGATGTGGGCTAAAAATCTAGAACAACATTATACTAGAGCCTTCGTTGAAGGAAGCATATTTTTTACCATAGTTGTATGATGATGTGGAGTCCTATATGAGAACATATCTAGTATACCACCAAGACAAGGTTGAAAATCGAATGCCCGAGGGTCTATTATAGCCTTTGCTTATCACGAAGAGACCATGAGAGACAATCATCATGGATTACATAGAGGCTTTGCTAAAATTAGAGAACTTTAAGAGCATCATCGTAGTTGTGGACAAGTTCTCTAAGTATGCCACTTTCATACCAACCCTAATGGATGTGATGATTGAGAACTCCACTAAGCTATTCTTTAAGTATGTGATGAAGTATTGGGGTGTGGATCGAGATTCTTGATTTACTAAGAAGTGATGGACTAAGCTATTCAACTTATTAGGCTAGAAGCTGCATTACTCTATGAGTTTTTACCTTCAAATAAAAGAGCAGATCGAGAGGGTTAATGCTTTGTTAAAGATAAATTTGAGGCATTTTATGAGTACCAACCAGCAAGATTGGGCTAAGTTACTTGGATATTGCCCAATTCTCCTATAACTTATAAAAGAATAAGTCTACTAGCAAGAGTCCATTCGAGATCGTGATGGTCCAACGAGTCTCTCACTCCATATATGATGGTGGTTGGTGACAAATGAAGTATCCGCATCCTATGGAGGTGCGGGATAAATAAATAAAATTTATTTATCTAATGACCCAAGATCAAGCCGTTGAATCTACTAATCATACATGCATGAATTTAAAGTAATGAATAAAGAATTACCTCTTATAGTGCAAATCTAAATTTTTTTAACATAAAAGCTGTTTAAGTGTCCGGCCTTTATTGATGATCTACATAGTCTAAGTACCCACGAAGAAGCACTCAAAATCATTTGGGTGTTAGATTTACCTTCTCCGATTTATGTAGTGTTTCCTATAAAAATCTATTATGAGCCATTTTGTGACAACCTTAAAGGAAAAGAAAAGAGTGTGGTATGCTTAGGGTTTTGAAGAAAACTATTTTTTTTCGTTTTTCCTTTTCTTGTCGTGTGCCTTAATGGCCCTTTTTAATTCCGGCTAAAACTCTTTTTTTTTTTCTATCTTTTGTATGCCATACCGCTCTCTCCAATCTATATATATATATATATATATATATAGAGAGAGAGAGAGAGAGAGAGAGAGAGAGAGAGAGAGTTTTCTTGTCCTTCATGGACAAAGAGAGGCGACGAATGAGTCCCTTAAGGACTCTAGGTTGTTGCTTCCTTATCCTCTAAGGATTAAGAGTTATTTTACATGTGGACTTTTTGATCTTTATCTTTAAAACATTCATCCTTATCCAATAAGGTTGATGTTTATCCTTCCACCAAAATATCTTAAGGCTTTTAATTAAACCTAATGGGCCAAAACCATTTGGCTTAATTAATTTATTTGGACTATCCAAATAAATATCTTAGATTATTTTAGGCTAGTCCACATTAGGAAATAATTTTTCAAAATACCATTGAACCTTAATTAGGAAACTCATTTTCATTTTAGGTTATTTATTTTCAAATTTAGAATCAACTTCTAAATTAGGAAACCGATTCCTAAAATAGAAAATTTTTCATTTTAGGAAACTTTCTCATTAAAGAAACTTTTCATTTAAGGAAACTTCTCATTTAAGGAAACTTTTCATTTTGGAAATCCTTTCCAAAATAGAAAACTTTCAAAATTAAAAACCTTTTTCAATATCTTTACTTCTCATTTATCATGTGAATACTTAAACTTATGCATGTCACTTAATTGACTCCCGCATATATTAGCGATGTATCAAGAACAAAAAACTCCTATTTTATTTTCTGATAAATAAATCAAGATTCAAGATTGATCTCTATCAAGGTATCATAAATACTCAATTCTTCGAAGAATTAATTAACCTATTATGACCTTTCACGAGTATGGTTACCATATAATTTAGTCCTCATGTCAACTTATCACACCATACAATTTAGTTTTCATGTCAACTTATCACCGTGTGATCTCAAACCTAGTTATAAGTCTTATTCGATTATGATAACATAAGTTTTTTTTCAATTTCCAAATATCTTATCTCTTAAAATAAACCAAATATGCTCTATTGGTGTACTCCTACTATGGTCATAGATTTTTCAAGTAGACATTTATTAAAGTACAATGTAATAACTCCTTTAGCATATAAAGAATGACATGTCCTATCTTAGTCATACACCTACCTCTATTAGATTCCTAATGCACCTAACGAATCGCTCATGTACAATCCTTTAATGGGTCCATTGAAATGAGCATCAAAGTGCATAAGTCCTCTAATGAGATAATCGTGATGACTTCAAGTCTAAAAACCATTTGTATCGATCTCATATGAGATTCCCAAACTAAAATCATATGGCTTCTCATGGCGAGTTAAGTCTAGTGATATATTTTTTAACATAAATAACCTAAGTGATTATTTTGGCATCACCATGCCAATAGGTGTGATATCTATCTGCATATAGTCAATGTTCATTTTTGATAATGTTACGACTTGGGATGTTTAATGATATCATTTATATTCATTAGTGTTTGTCTCACATTTTTCGATCAATCACTATTGCAAATGCATATCATAAGAACTTCTATCTAATTCTACTATACTTATAGACATAAATCATAATAATTAATAGAATGCCTTCTTTATTATCATTAAAATAAATGATGCAATAATATATTAACTCAAACTCATCCAAACATAGTTGGATCTTGAGCACCTACACTAATAATAAGTACCAAAAAGCGACTCTATAGTGTATTCATTAGCTAAAGGATATCAAAAGTAGACAGATTTGACATGAATGTATTTGAATAAAGTCGTTAAGAAGTTGAAAAAGTGGACGGATAAGAAACAAAGAGATGTCACCTTCCAAACAGGTGACAAAGTGATGGTAAAGTTACTACCATAACAATATAAGGCATTTTAAAAGGTATATAAAGGACTCATATGTCGATATGAAGGACCATTCGAAGTAGTGCACAAAGTGGGAGAGGTGGCCTATTGCTTAGAGTTGCCATTGAAGCTGAAAATCCATCATGTATTCTATGTTAGTATATTAAAGCCATACCTTGTTGATGAGGAGAATCCAAGTCGAGGAGTTTCTCATAGGACACCAACAATAGTGGTTGAGTCGTATAACAAACAAGTTGATGTCATACTTGATGACTACACAATCAAATGTCATGAAATGCCCCAAAAAAGGAGTATTATGTGAAATGGAAGGGATTACTAGAAAGCGAGACTAGCAAGAAACTCCGTCGAAGCCTTGGGGCAATTCATACGAAAGGTTGAATAGTATAATGAAGACGTTTCGAGTATGTGCCAAATTAGGTGGGGGAGAATGTTGCGCCTTGCTCAAAAGAAGGATTTTTTTAGAGGCTATTGGAGATCGTTAGATAAGTCCGAAAGCCTTTAGAAGACTACGAAGCAATGAAGAAGCTCGTAGGATGTTCAAGAGAAATCTAGACATCTCCTAGAGAATTTTAGAAAGTCTCTCATTATTCTAGCTTTTACATATCTAAATAGTTCTTTATACATATTTAGTTAGGACAATTCTAGAGAATCAATTATAGTCATTAGATCAAATAGATCTTAATCATTTATTGATGAGGTGGAGGATTATAAATATGTGAGACTTTCATTTGTTCAAGATATCTAAAAATCTAAAGAAGTGTGATCTTAAAGTTATAAGATTTAAAGAGAGTAATATAAAGAGTTTTTATATTTTTTGTGATTGCTTCTTGCTTGATAACTAGGCGTGAAAGAAGGCTAATTTGATTTGATGTACAAAAAAAGTGAGTCAGATGTCACCCGAGAGCCTAGGAAAAGCCAATTCCGTGATAATATGCAAACATAGTTTTTTGCTAAACGTCTCTTATGCCAATTTCATATACACCATGATCAAAACGGCTGAAGCTTAGACTACTCATGACCTCACTTGATTGACCACGTCAACTACATTTTTTTTTAAAAAAAACAAAAACAAATGGATTTTATTTAACATGCGCAAATTTTTGTCCTATCATTGCTTCACAGAAATAAAAAACCATCAAACTATTAAAAAAAAAAAAATACAAATACAATGCAGACATTCAGCCATCGAATCTATTATTTATTAATCCTTTTATGTTTATTTTAAGACCGAAAAGAAAAAAACGTGTACCACCCAATTTACTTTTCCACATTACGTATATTATTTCACCAGCCATGACAACAACTTTTTACAGCATCACAACCCCCTGCAAAATACGTCGCAGCTCGTTTTAGCTATTCATCAAACACAAATTTTCCTGTAATTTCTAAAAAAGAAAGAAAAAAATTATTGCCCCGGAGCCATAGCCGTAGCCTGAAGCCATCGTAGGGTAGCAAGGAATACACGTTTTGATGCTATCCTAAAGCAAATCAAAACCTATAATAAATCACAAGACATATAAAATGTGTCTAAGAAAATGTCAAAGATGGCTAATATTCTTGGATTTCCACTGCAACAACAAAGGCTGCCAGTTTTAGCTGGTCTTTATCCTTGTCTCTCTACAATTCACACGGTTGCTGCTAATTCTGTTTCAGAATCACAGAAGAAGTGGAACATTGGATTTAAAGGACCTCGTCGGTTGGTATTGGGACTTGGGGTCTCATTTTGGTCGCAGTTTATGAGTATGGCTGGTACAGCCAGAAGCAACTATCTCATCGCCTCTGCAAGGCAAAAGGGTGTCATTGAAGAGGTGAATTTTCAGTCTTTTGTTTGCTGCTCTTTCGTACTCATTTACGAGTCGATTGCTGAATTTGGTTGCTGGGGTTTCTTGAATTTTGGATTCTAGTAGTGTCTTGGCGTTCTTTTCGTGAGAGAACTTCAATTTCTTATAATGCAATTCTACTTGGGGTTTAAGCATTTCGAGTGATTGCTTTACTTTGTTTGTTTGTTTGTGTTTTTTTTTTTTTTTTTTTTTTTTTTTTTTGAAATGGATGGATATGCCCAAGTAAACAGACTCACCATGTAATTATTGAATAGCATATAATTACCTTAATATTAGCAGTCACTTCCATTGTAGTTTGGATATAAAGAAATCGACTGTTTGCCTCTTGGGCATTCTTGTGGTTCACACAGGAATGATGTAGTCCTTGTTCCGTCTGAGTTCTTCTTTAGCTGCAAAATCTAGTTTTGGTTCTCTGGAAAATATGATGGAGTTGCAATTTGGAATGTGAAGCTGCTTTGGCACATATTTTGTAGAAGCTAATTGATGTTTTATAAACCAGATGGAAGATCCAAAAACAATTCCTATCTGGCAAAAAAACTCAACTTGTTTGATCGAGTCCAAGTAGCCTGCTTTATTTGGCTTGTGATTGATCTCATACTTCTGTTATCTTCAAAGAGATCTTGAGGCGCTGCCAAAGCCACAGATGCATCATCTATGTGATTAGTGTCACTTCTTGCTTGACAGTGTGCTTATTTTAATACTGTACCTTCCAATGTTTTCTATTCCCGTTTCATAGGTATTGAAGAATGTGGATTGGCCACAGCAGTTTCCATTCAAGGAGGAGGATTTCCAGCGCTTTGATGAGTAAAACCTCTTGTATTTAATTGCCTGCATGAAATACTTTTTCAGTTCTTGTTTTCATCCACTTCTTCAGCTGTTTTTTCCTTGGAACTGCTTCATGTCCATGATTACATGCTGAAAGTTGATGCACCTAAACATTATATTGTAGACAGAAAACTTAAAAGAATTATCACATGATATCTTTTTGGCCTTTTATACTGGAGCCTAGAACTAATCCTGAGGTGGAATATAGCTTGAACGCATTATATTGTAACAAAATTCGTTCTTCCTTAACACAAAGTCCATCTTTGCTTGGCTTTGTATACAAAATCATCTATATATATATATATATATATATATATCACTCATAACATTGAATTCAGCACTACCTTCACTTTAGTTTTTGAGTTTAGCATCTTTATTTTGAACTAGCAACTTAATCAATTTGAATTTCAAACACCCTACAATCTGCATTAGACCGAGTTCACTATTATATACCTTCAAAACTCAAAATTGATATTTGCAGGTCTCCCGATTCATTGTTCTATGATGCTCCAAGATTTGTGACACACATTGATGATCCAGCCATTGCTGCACTGACTAAGTACTATTCAAAGGTTTTCCCTCCCAGCAACACTCCAGGAGTAAGCATCCTGGACATGTGTAGCAGTTGGGTAAGATGCTTATAGCATTTATGTACAGCCTCATTAGGTATTCGTTATTTACGTTAACAAACTATTCCTGATTTTATCTGTAGGTCAGCCATTTTCCAAAAGGATACAAGCAAGATCGTATAGTTGGATTAGGCATGAATGAAGAAGAGCTCAAACAGAATCCAGTCAGATCCTACTTTTTATTCTCGATATCATTGTGTAGTTATTTATGTCAGGCATTTTTTAATTTGGTCATTCATATGTTCTTTCCAAGCTACTGTCATTTGTTGCTATGTTTGCTGCTGGATTAGTAATCATCTTACACAATTGCAACTGGTCAGCTAGAATTTTAAAAATGACGTACATATTATTCTATCTTCCCTTGAGAAGTTTACATTGTTATTTTAGCATGAGAATCTTAGTGCTTTATTGGAAGCATTTTGATGATATCACCAAAAGCCAAATATCACCTTGATGAGATGTCATGTTACATAGCTTGTAAAAATAAGAGAAATCGAAGGCTTAACTGAACCTCAAAAGAAGATAAGGGTATGCAACTAAATGTATAGCGAAATCTGTTTCAACATGTGTATCCTTATTTCGTGCTAGATATGTTAAGTTTCAAGTTGCATGTATCATATTTACTTTTGTGACTTCATCAGTTCTAAGCTAATTGTGTTGCATACACTGTTATGATCTTTCTATTACTGGAGACAATACATTGATCAAGGTGTTTTCTCTATAGGTTCTGACTGAATATGCTGTGCAAGATTTAAATTTGAACCCTAAACTCCCATTTGAAGATAATTCCTTTGATGTCATAACTAACGCGGTATGTGTATTGTCCCTATCTTTTGACCATTTTGGCTGTGCTCTATATGACTGGTTTGTGTTTTCTCATAATATAATCTTACAAATTGCCATTTGTGCATTTAAATGCCTGGAATTAACAAAGATTTTTGAAGTACTGTTTTTGGTGTGTTGTCACTTTCTTATTGGCATGTGGTCTCCCTATTAATATCATGAATTTGTTGGATCAACATAAGATTTGATACCTTTTGTGTTTAATATATTGTCTCTGAAGCAGATTGTTGCAGCTGTGTTTAGCAATAGATTTTTTCTCTTCTCCATTTCAAGAAAGAACTTAAGCCTAACTATTGGATGGCAATACATAAATCAAAATCATTTTAAGTAAGGAAAATTTTTCCTTTTCCTTTTGTGGGCTTAATGGTTTGGTGTCTTGAATCTGTGTTTCTGAAGGCAAACCTCAGCTGCCACTATTACCTCAGATATTTCTGTCCCAGTGAAAATATTAGTATATGAAGATGTCAAATTTCTTATGAGTTGTTGTTTGGATTATTCTTTTAAATTGTACTCTCATAGAACGATCTCCCTTTTCCCTTTTCTGAAACATTTCTCAGGTCAGTGTTGATTACCTAGCTAAACCTATTGCTGTTTTCAAGGAGATGTGCCGAATACTTAAGCCAGGTGGACTGGCTATAATGAGGTGATATTATTTATATATTTTTTGTTTTTACAGTCCTGAGTAAGATGAAAGTTCAGTGATATTGACTTCCTGTTTTTTAATTTAGTAAAATGCATGCCATTTCCGTGTAGCAGTTCCTTAACCTTTTAAAAGAGATCAGCAGAAATATTTTTGTTTTGGTCATCTAAACTTAGTCATATTTTGTAACAGAATTCCAGCTAAATGTCAATTGATGATATCCCTTACATTTTTGGGGTTTGTCTCAGTACCTAATCCTCCCCTATGGTTCCCATTTCACTGTAATTGATAGTCAAGGTACAAAGCAACTCATTTTGAGTTAACTTGCAACTTCAAGATTGGACTAATGAGGAGATGTGGACACATCACACATGCGAGTATAAAGAGCCTGTGATTCAGCTAAATAACCCTAAGACAGTAGAAACGAAAAATGACAAGAAAAAAGTAGACGGATACCATATGGAACTAATTCACCCCATTTGTAGCATCCCTTTGCATTTTAGTTGCTAGAGATCAATATTTTGGTTTCATGAGTCATCCTTGTTTTATATTTATTCAAGCATTTCTAAACTTTACGATATTAGACCAACTAAAAAAAAAAAAAAAAAAGAACAAAATAAAATGAAAAATCTAACTTTTTATTGAATACATTTGTATCAGCTTCTCTAATCGTTGCTTCTGGACAAAAGCAATCTCTATATGGACATCAACTGGTGATGCTGATCATGTTATGATTGTTGGGTCTTATTTCCATTATTCTGGAGGCTTTGAACCACCTCAGGTAATTCAATTCCTTGCATCCTGTCTTTGGTAATGAGAATTGATGAGTGTCTAATGGCCAAATATTCAGTTCCTTTGCTGTTGATTCTTGCTTCATCTCCTGTTGAATGTGATTTGAGTGCCAATCAGTGTACATGCTACATTTTAGCCTGCTGATTTATGTATTATAATCCTTGAGCTCTAGAGGATATTGCTTGCAATCCAATGGTCCACAATCTTGATGTCTAAATTCCATCAATCATGAGCTGCAAATCACGCCCACACACACGGGTGCACGCAGAACCTTGTGATTGAGGGTTATCCAGTGACAGATTTTGAATGACAAGAAATGTTTTTGCAGGCTGTGGATATATCTCCCAATCCTGGACGCTCAGATCCCATGTATGTTGTGTACTCTAGAAAGGCCTCTACAGCGTGAGGCACGTTAGAGAGGTTGACGATCAGATTTTATTGTCTCTAATATGAAGGCAAAAAAATTGGGAGGAAGGCTTATGGTGTTTTTCTAATGTTATAGTCGGTCGCGCTCGCGTACGTGCAAACACACACACACACACATATATATATATGCTTAGGTTTTCTAACATTTGTTTTCATGGGTGAGATTTTCTAACGTGCACTTGAGATATTCAACACGCCATCTTTCCGTTTTGTATTATGCTATATACTCGAAACATTAAAAAGACGACGGATCCCAACCTCATCGGGGATCACGCCACGCTACACATTTCTAGTGCGCCTTGTTTCTTGTACTATAGTCTTATGCGTACAAACTACAACTAAATGTGCAAAATTTATGACATCAAGAGATGCCTGTGCCTGTGCCTGTGCCTGTGCCTGTGCCTCAGACAGTGATGTCTTTTTACTGGATTGTGGAACACTATGCATCTGGTAAAGAGGATGTGTTTGCAACAAATAGTCAAATATAATATCACAGTATATTGTCAATATTATTATTAGAACGGAAGCATTCTCAGACCAGTATATATATATATCTGGATTAGATTCATTACTTCCTTCCCGTCAAAAACAAGCTACTCCTAATGGGATTAAAACATTCATGAAAATTTTACTTTAGTGGGGAAAAGAGATTTTACACATCACATGATAACTATATGTTCGAAACATGATACGTGCTATATAATCATTGAGTTTCCAAAAATAAATAAATAAAGCCTAAAAATTCATTGGATAGGAAATTGTTGCGAATGGGTGTGAGATGATTTTGCATAACACTTGTTGTACATTTATAAAATATTGCAAATTTGTCGAAAAGGATTGGACCAGATATTGCAACATCCGGTTAAATCACAATCGGTGACTTTTCCATTAAGGTCCATGCCACGAGTTTAATCTCCCGCCAGTGGCGTGGATAAGAAACCAAAGACACTAGAGAGAATGCTCAATCATTGAATGTGGAAGAATCTGATTCGCTTGAAAGCTGATAGTAATCTTTTATGTTTGGATCAAATGAAAGTTGATAATTGAGATGCTTTTGTCATTGGCAAAAACTGTTTCCCCAAACTAGCCTTCGATGACACAGTCAGTCCATACATTGTAGATAAGGAAAGCACAAGGGAATATTTACAGAACAGACAAAGGCGTAAATATTCATTACTGGATAGTGGATGGATAAACGAGAGGAAAAAAAAAAAAAAAATCAGAACCAGCGATGTGAAAAGTGGGGATGTTTTTGGTTACAAGATCAAAATTCAAACCCAACCCTGTTTGTATCGGCTGAAGAGGTCTTCAGTTTGGGCATTTTTGAAAGCACTGCAGGCAATGAGATAGACCCAGATGAGCACAACCACTGCTACAATGAGGATTATATTGGCTTTCCTCCATTCTCTCCTTAGGTTCCCCAACAAACCAGCTCTGCAAGCGTTGCAATTGTAGCATAGTTGGTTCTGGTCATTGTTCCACAAGTAGCAGTCTGGGTCTGCTGTTGGGTTCGATGGGTTTAACCACAGTGTAGGGTTCACATAATTGTAGCCACAAACTGTTGGAGGTTTACAACATCCTGACTGTAATATGTAGTAGTTTCAAAAATAATAAAACACTTGTTATTATTAAAATAAATAAATAAATAAACATAGCACAGCATATCACCACACCAAACAATTAATGTCACGCACTATATATTACGTGACAAAGCTGGCAACAATAACCTGCATTTTTATCTTCTCGATCGATCCAAAGACTAAAAAAAGCTATGTGGATTCAATAATGTATGCTGGGATTACTTTAACTTAGTCAAAATTCCGTGATCCCTCTTAATAATTGAGTTAGTTGGTAGTGATCTATTGGCGCAAACTCCCTACGGGGCTCACTGTAGCAACCATTATTTTCTCGTATGAAAGCATAAAAAATGCCCCCACACACCATGACATGTCTCTATTTAATTTCTCCCAACAATAATGCGTTGTCGAATCAAGCTGATTATGATTGACATGTGAGAAACTAAAAAAGTTTTAATAGCCACATTGATCCGTTTCAAATGATAATATATATATACACACTAAACGGTTCCTCCTTCCTACCATATATATATGTATGTATCGTAGAAAGTATATGTACTACATTTTTTTAAGGTAAAAGTGGAATCTGGTGGGAAACAGCTTCCAATTAATCCAGACAGTCTTGTCTTATTCCAGCAGTTTCCAGGCAATGCATGACCAGTGAACTAGGAAATCGGTGGATCATTTTGTGTCAAGATTATCCCAACTTTTAGCGGCTGCCAGTCATGTGACGCCAGATTATGCAGTAGAGAAGTCTTCGAACTCGACAAAATGAGACAGTTTTGAGGCTTTAATCAAGGAATAGAAACTTTAGAAAGGGAAAGAAATCCCTCAGTAAATTACTACTCAAACCTTACAAGTTTTAATTGCTTAGCACAGAGAAATAACTGCCTAAAAAATCTAAATTAATTTCCCAGTCATGATCTAAACTCTAAACCAGTTTATATATTAATTAATGCATGAACTTGTATAAAAAATGATTTTTTGAAAAATCTAAATTGATTTTAGAAGGAATTAGAAAGTTAGTTGAATTACCTGGAGGGGAGAGATGTGAGCCATGAAGAATTGGTCAGCAGTGATATAAGTTTGAGTCAACTTAGAACAAACATCAGTCCCAGCAAGACAAGGCCTAATCTTGTTCCAGTTCTTGGAATTAACAATATGATCCCTCAACCAAGAAGAGAATCCTTGAAGCCTGTACTCTCTATAACCCCTACCAGGCACATCATAGCCACCATCAGCGCGCGTGACCACAAAAGCGAAGATCAGAAGGATCAACAGAAGTCCTATGAGAATGGCCATGCAACAGAGATAGAATGCTAAAAGTGTTTCCTTATACCAGTAGGCACCCACAAAACCAGCAAGTGAGACCAAGAGGATAAGGAATCCAAGAATAACTACAGGCCACCGGAAAAGGTGAATGCATTCGTTATCTGGTTTGGAGGCTAGCCAAATGCCAGAGGCTATTATAGGGATTGAGCAGAGAAAAGCTATGAAGTTTAGGATGGCTGTGATGTTGTTGGCTACTCCCATCTCAATGGATGGGTTTTGGAACTTGTTTTTGACTTGTGAGAGAGGGAGAAAAACTGGTGTTGGTGCTTGGAGTTAAAGATAAATTTATATCATATTGGGTGGTTTTGCCTTTGCTGTTTGTGTTGGGAACCTATGGTACTGTAGATCTTTACAATTGGGCTTGTTAAAATAGATAAAACAACTGAAGGTGTAACTTTTTAGTTCCTGTACCTTCAGACTCATTTTTCCTATTCATGCCTTCTCTTGGAATTTTCTTTTTCATTTCGTTTGGCGTGTGTCTCTTAGCTTTCAATCCCACCCTATTCATGTCTTTCCCAGCCGTTTGATCCTCCACCTTCTCCTGTTACAGTTATTAGATTTTATTCTTTTTTCCTTTCCTATTCTTTTGTTTTGTAAATCTGATTAGTTAAAGAGAGATTATATAATCTCAGTAACCAATAGATTATTGTCACATTATTAAATCTCATCTATGATAATCTTTAATTTATCAAAATTGAAAATGCTTCTCTCTCTCGCTCTCGTATTTGCAAATCTTAAAACCTTTCTCTCTTTCTCACATGTCTGCAGACTCAACAAAAAATACCTCTTTTTCTCTTATGTCTCTAGCCCAACAAAAATTACTCATGCCAATCGTTGTGTGATTGATGACAACAAAGAATGTTGGTAATGAATTTTGGTGGTTAGGGTTTGGTATTGAGGAGGGTAGCGAGGCTATTGATGGTGGGTTTTTATGGTAATGTTTTGGTGTGGAGGAGAATAAAGGGTGTTTTTTCTAATGAGTTTGGATGGTCGCAGTTTGGTGTGGGAAGAATAGGTATGGCTAGAGTTTTTTTTTTTTTTTTTTCGGTCCGGAGAGGTTTTTGTGAGATGGGGGGAGGCTATCACTACAATCGAAATGGAGAAGAGAAGCTTTTATCTTTTGTAGATCTAGCTATGGTTCCGCTTGCATGCAAATAGATTAGATGAAATCAAACCTTTTCCAAATTGGATCATTACCCCTTTTTGTTTTTTTTTGTTTTTTGGTTTTAAGTTTGTGTTCGATCGATTATGTAGGTCCGATTAGTTATGTAGGTACGATCATCGTATGTTTTTCGAGTCAACTATTTCCCATCAAGGTATCATCCGATTGTACGTAGTTGAAGGCGTAGGAAAGTCAATTTCTTTCTTTGTTCTTTTCAAGTACGTTGTTATGAAAATGAAACTGCTTGAGTTTGGTGTTTATGTATGTGAGTGTTTAGAGTTCTAGTTACATTTTCTAGAGATTGAAAAGCTATTGTATGATTCTACGACTATTAGTTAAATGAATGGTCTATTATCATGAATCAATATATGTTTCATAACACATAATTTATCGACCTTTCTTGGTTAATGTAGTGCATCATTGAGGAGGAGAACTACTTTAAGCAACCTAGAGAGTTATAAATTCTTTTCAAGTTTTCATTTTCCTTTTAGGGAGATTGGCTTTATTCGATGTCATTTTTGATATGTGGTGTTCTACATCAATTGATTTCATCCCTATTTGGTTTATTTACAACTAGATAAGACTTATTTTCTTATTTTTCCCTAATTGCTTATTGTTATTGTTTTATGTGCTCCTATATTTTTCCTTTTTTTTTTTTTTTTGTCCGTTGTATCTGGTCCGATTGCACCTTGCGGGTTTGGAAGTGACACTTGTTAATTTCCAATCTATGGTTTCATTCTTATAAATGCTTTGGTTTAGCTCCTTTTTTTTTAATTTTTATTTGCACTTACTTCTTCTTATAATCGGTTTCATCGTGTATTCCTTTTTCTTGCTTAGTCGAGTGTTATTGGTGTTTCTCACTTGCTACTTAGAGGTTGTTACCTTTCTTTCTCTCTTTTTAGCATTGGATTTTCCTTCGTTTCCTACTTGATTAGCCTTTGTTTGATTCCTTCGTGACTAATTGGTGTATTGTTCTTATTGCATTTTTATTTCTTCTCTCGTTGTTTGTTTGTAGTTTTTTTGTGTCTTTTATTCATATTGTTTTGAGCCTTTGCTCTTGGAATTGTTGGTGGGTTTTATTATTTTTACTTTTTTCTTTTTTTCTTATGTCACCATGTTTTTTGAAGTTTGATTTCATATTTTTTGTTCTGTGCTATGAAAATTTAGATGACTTCCCTATTGTTTCAAAATTTGGTTGTCTCGTTTTTATTGAAGTTTGTTCTTTTAATTGGATATGGTTGTTCCCTTCGATTTTGAATTATACAACTACAAGTTGCTAAAGTGCTTGATTTCTTCATCGAAATTAATAGGTCGATTTCTCATTGCCTATCTTATTTTATGTGTTGTTGTTGGCTATCCCTCCCTCCCCCCATTCACTTTTTTCCATGTTGTTCCTTTTTGCTAAGCAATTTTTTCCACTTGAGATGCATAGCCACATTTCGCACCTATATTTTCTATTGAACTATATGTCTTTTTCAATTGTAGTTTGTGTTTTTTATTGTGTGTGTCTCTTTTACTATTCATTCATTTTGATTAGATCGCTTTTGGTTTGTTGCTTTCATTGATAGCCTTGTGGCATTTTTTTTTTTTTGCCTTTTTTGTGCTATTTTCCATGTAACTCGTCGATCAATATTTTCTTTTTAAAGCTCTTGCCTACCTATAACTTGATTATGCTTAGATGCATCCAAGTGATATGTTAGATGTGTCTTAAATCCATAACTAAGTTTTGTTTTGCTTGGTCTTTTGCTTCGTTGCTTTTATCTTAACTCGTTAGGTATATGAACAAAATTTGATCTAGGTTCATGAGATTTTAAATTCAACAAACTAGATGATAATTGACACAATTCCGTTAATTATAGGAGCCTTCCATCTAAACCAAGAATTTGTATTCTTGTTGTTGCCTTCTAATTTAATCTGCAAGTGCTTGACTTTGAATGTTAGATTGTTTCGAAATAACAAACGTTGCAATTAGCCAATTACTAATGAAGCCTTACTTAACGATTGATTTTTCTTTATATATATATATATATATATATATATATATATATATATATATATATATATATATATATACACGAGCAAAAAAAAAAAATCATCTAAAATGTCAAGTCAAAATATCGGTAAAATTTCTTTTTCTTTTGTGAATCAAATATGATTGTATGCTATAACCACTCGTTGCTACAACATAAGGATGATCCTTCACTTGAAGGGATGTATGTACAATATAATTACTAAAGAATACTATATCATATGATAAAAAAATAGACATTTTCACAATTTTTTTTTTGCTTAAAAGTCTATGTAGTCCTTGCTTAGAAAATATATGCATATATGTTTACGGAAATTCTTCTTTCAATTGGATTTCACTTTGATCTTTGTGTATTAATTTAAATGTTGCTAATTCTTATTTTTCTTTTGAATTTCTCACTATCATTTAAGCTTATTTATGCCTCGTCCGGAGTTCGATTTGTATGAGGACAAGTTTACTATTTAGAGAGGGGTTAATTTTTACATGAAAAGCATCAAGTTTGAGGACTACACTAGAAATCAAGGTGGATAAAAACTATACTATAGTCCTCGCCACATAATTTTAGGCTTGAACAATGGAGGAAATAGTTGGCTTTTATAAAGGAGACTCTCCATAATAATATTGTTTTATAGTTTGGGGAAATAGTTGGCTTTTGTAAGGGAGACTCTCTATAATAATATTGTTTTATGGGTTGGGGACCCAATTTTTCATTTAAGAAAACATTGTTTTGGATATAGATTTCGTAAGGATATTTTTAATCAAAATTTAAGATTAAATTTCAACTTTTTTTTTTTTCATATATTCTTATATGTTTTGCTACTTATGTTTCAAATGTTTTAATATTGCTAATATTTATAAGTATTGCTTTTACTTTTTTTTCTTTCACATATACGATAAGCATGCAAAATTTACAAGCTTAAGAATTATAGAGATCCAAATTTTGACATGTCATGCTTACATTAAAATCTCAATTTATTTTTTTATTTTTATTTTTAGTTTTTGTATTAAAATAGTAAATATGTTATGTTTCTAACCTCATTAAGTTTAATTTTGTCTACTATATGAGTAAGACTGGCAAAGGGTTGAGATGTGATGGGCCTTTTATGTCTTCACATCAAAATTAATATATATTTACCATATTAGGTACTAACTTATATAAACTAATTTTAAGGACAAATTGAATAATATGTATATTAAACCATACTCGTACAAAAAATGCGGCCCTATGAGCAATTTCAAAATCAAATGTTCAGTTTTTCATTTAAATATAGTTTTTTATTCTAAAATTGTTGATAATTTTATGAATAGATATATCAAAATCAAATATACGGATTTTAGAAAACTAATCTTCTCATTAATATTAAATAAGAATTTTTATTTTCATTTGTTTATAATTATGCAATTTTTTTTACTTCAACTATTATTTTATTTTAATGACACAATCTTACAAAAAGAAAAAAAAAAACTTGGTTCCACAACAATTACTAAATACCGTTGATAACCACAAGATTTTTTGAATACGACTACCACTTCATTGCAACTCATGTCTCTAATGTGAGTAATGTAGTGTCGAAAAACCCTATCATCCTCAACCACAAGCTTAAATCATGACACACCATGAAAACCAATAATGGTAGAATACAAAAGGCATTGTAATTCTATTTATGCATTGTTTTATAATATTATAGACATTTTATTTTCTCATTGTTTGGTTATTGCTCATGACCACAACTAAACATTACAAACAAAAATATTATATAAGATTCGGATATAAATTTCATTAATCGAGCTTTTTACAAGAAAATAACGTTTCTCTTCACTTAAAAAATAGATTCGATTTACATTAATCATAAAAAACAACACTTCTAATCGTACTATACCATACAAATCATTAATCTTATATATGTAACAGTTGTCTAATCGGAGCGTAATGCGGGTATTCAACTAGTTATAGCTAGAACACAACAGAGATAACTAAGGCTAAGGTAATTGTGTTTAATGGGTTTTTTT